TATATATATATATATAATATACATATACGTGTATACATATATACATATATACTTAGATTCATAGATTCATACATACATAAACATACATACATATATACATACATATACACATACAGATACGAATACACATACATACATACATACATACATGTATACATATACATATATATAAATATACATACAGACATGCGTACATACAAACATATCTGATATATATATATATATAATATATATATATATATATATATATATAATATATATATATTCATTTTATTATTGCATACGAACTCTATTTTTTTTTTTTTATAAATTCAACATTTAATACATTTTTCTTTCATCTTCCTGTAAGGATTTCTAGAAAACATATTTTTACCAGCTGACTACTCTGCGAGATACATATGATTAAGAGTATTTTGCGGCGCTGATATTTTTAGGCAAATATCTGGCGGATAGAAAACGCTCCTGGGTGTGTGTGTGTGTGTGTGTGTGGTGTGTGTGTGTGTGTGTGTGTGTGTGTGTGTGTGTGTGTGTGTGTGAGAGAGAGAGAGAGAGAGAGAGAGAGAGAGAGAGAGAGAGTAAAACACACACACACCATTTTGTCTTAAAAAAGCGTGAAATAAGGAAATAAGGGTTAATATATATCCTCCTTCAGTCTGGCAGGCGACACGCGGAGGGCGGGGGTGGGAGGGGAGGAGGAGGTAATCTGTAAAATTGCTCTTCTTAAAATTGCTCTCTTGCTCCTAAGGTAACGTACGGCATCGTTTATGGACGGAGAGGGAAGGGGAAGGGAAGGAAGGGGGAGGTACGAGGGTTGATGGGGAGGGAGGAGGAGGGTTGAGGGTAGAGGGGGAGGATAGAGGGAAGGAAGAGAGGGGAGAGAGGAGTGGGGGAATAGGGAGGTAGGGAAGGAAGTAGGGATTGGGGTATACGGAGGTAGGGAAAGATAGGGGAATGCGTGGGAAGAAACAGGGAAGAATTGGGGTAGAAGGGGGGGATGGAGGGTGGCTTTGGAGGAAGGGTGGGAGTAGGGAGGGAAAAGAGGAGTCATAGGGTAGGGAGGGGAAGGGGCAAGGGGAAAGAGGAGAATGAATAGAGAGATTGGTGTTTTTTTTTTTTTTTTTTTTTAGGGGGGGGTCTTCGTTAAGATATATCCATTATGCGTCTTTTCCTTTGTGAAAAAAGTGTTCTGCTTGTTCTCCCTTTCATGTTTTTCCTTTGCGATAGATGTTTTTTAAAATGCATGTCATATATATAAATATATTACACTTCTGTGCGCATACATAAACATACATACATACATACGTGCATACGTACATACGTACATACACGTACACATATCCATATGTGTAAAGTGAACTACTTTACGTCACAACAAGGCAACAGCCCCTTCAATTCCTCCTTCCCCTCACCCCCCCTCTCCCCCCCACCCCGAATTCCCATTCCAAGGCGCGCACCCTGGTTTATGGGCGTCTGAGGAGGCCGAGGTGGGCGCTGCGGGAGATGGCGGGCGGGCGGCGGGCGTGTTTCTCGTCTCTCTGTGTGGTGTGTTTCGTTTTTTTTCTCTCCCTCTCCATTCTCATCTTTTTCTTTCTTTTATATTCCTCTCTCTCTCCATCTCTATCTTTCTTTTTCTTTTTTATATTCTCTCTCTCTCTCTCTCTCTCTCTCTCTCTCTCTCTCTCTCTCTCTCTCTCTCTCTCTCTCTCTCTCTCTCTCTCTCTCTTCTCTCTCTCTCTCTATATATATATATATATATATATATATATATAATATATATATATATATATATATGTATATATATATGTATGTATATCGCCCTACCTATGATATTCCTTATTCGAGGAAGAAGGAAAAAGAGAAAGAGAATGAGAGGCGAATATGCACGGAGAAACAGAAAGAAAAAGGAAAAAAGACACTTGA